AAAACTACGGTAACTTCCTTAGTGTGAAAATTTGCAACTTCGTTCTTTAGTGTGAAAATTTGCAGCTTCGTTGGGAAAAGCGTTTAAGCTTTTTTGAGAAATCACGGAAAAATACAAAATTTACTTGACGCTTAGAGAGTAGAAAAATGATTTGCTTTTTATGAGTAGACCTTCCGGATGGAAGTATTTAAGGTAATTACAAAATGCCTACGGTTGTTCTGGGACTTCTTAAACAGGTGCGCAGCCATGGGTACAATGCAGTACTTTCGGTTGTTAAGCGATGACAGTGAAGCAGTAAATGCGTAGTGCGTTTTTGCAGCTCGTACTTTTGCTCGCTCATTCATCAAAATAAAAACCAGTCGTCCTCTCTTGCTAGTATTTTTATTTGCGGTAAAATTGTCAGATGAATTTTCGGTATGATACAGCCCGCAACAAACAATACCTTGACTTTTTTTGATATTCAGGCCAGGCGAATGTTACACAACAAATCTCGAACATCTGTGCAAAATTAACATAAATGCGCCCGGGCATACATTTCGAAAAACCGGAGTAATCTGTACCATTGGTAAGTGGTCAGAAATCCAAAAATAAATCATTCATTAATGAAAATCGTTGACACTTTACGTTTTAAAAATCACTACCTCTCTGGATATGTCCACCTCTGCACATTTGTGCCTATGCATGATTGGGCTTTTGAATGGGCCATCAACTTGAGAGCTAAGAGCTGATTTACCGAATTATCAGTCTGCTTTTGAAGTCTGGTCCAGATGTCCAAGAAAGATGGCAAGGCAGGATATTTCTGGATTATGGGGGAATAAAGAAGTACGGCACTAGGGACAGAAGAAAGAAAAAGAACTGTTTAGGAAATCACACTGAAATCATAGCTTCATTTTCAATTAATACTCAGATAAATGATTAATCAGCTAACAGCCACCGTTATGCACTTTCATGCTACTGATGTAGCTGTCAAATTCTCCCAGTTGTAGTGATTCATGCAATATTATTTACTGGTCCTCCTTGTCCGCTTTTCTAATTTCTTCATTCTTCTAGGTGCATACAAAATTTGGCTTCTCCCGTAGTCAATTTTTACATACACGAGATCTCTCAGCTGATTTTTATTGAGAGTATTTTCCGGCATTTTTTGCAGGCCCAGCATGTCAAAGTGTGGGAAAACTGAAAGAAATGATGACAGCTGGCATGAACATCGCACGTCTCAATTTCAGTCATGGATCATACGAGGTTTAGCTTGTCCTGGCCTCCACTTTTGTCGCCCACTGATACTAGAAAAGTTTTAATATAAATACCAGAGTTTGCTTTTAAGCGCCTCTTTAATGAGAAAGCACCTATTCTTCCTGGTTTCTCAACTCCTTTATCTTCGTATTTTCGAAGCTGGAATTTGTATTTAAACGTGTATGCATACGTATTTGCACATACACACATGAATACATATACAGATGCATGCATACTATAGATGCATGCATACATACATACATGCATCCACATGTACATACATACATACATACATTGCATGCATACACCGACATGATCTCGCTTTGATATGCATGTGTTTTGTTAATGATATAAAGCCACATGAAAGCTAATCCGGGCTGAAACGCACCATGCGGTCATGCATTTTTGCACTAAACTCACAAATCGCTAATAGTTTAATGGTTCTGCGCTGTAGCTTAACATTTGGGCTCATATACTGCCCGCGCTCTGACCTCTTCCGGCATATAGAAGAAAGGGCGTCGGTAGAGATTCAGCCGCTGCATTATAGGGCTATCATGGACCTCTAGGAACAGTTTTTTGCACGAAGTCCGGTCTTTTTTCTAGTAAATACTCACTCTTCGAAAAAATGCAGATTTCCAGTTCACTGAAAGTGGAAATGTTGCTAGAACGATCGTTCGTCAAAGAGTCCAAAAATGAAAAAAATGACTTCATTTACACACTGGGAGAGGATGAGGGCGGTCATTCGCTGCAAAATGTACTCGTTTCTGATTTTTTGGTAAAGCTGAGTATTTCTATTGTCAGCCTGCAAAGCACTTCACTTTCAAGCAGAATTAAGACCGCACTTGAAAGTAGAATATCCCAGCGAACTTTCGGCTTCGCACCTTATCACTAAGCGAAATAGCCATTTTGCTACAAATATCTTTGAAGTGCCCTAAATCATAGCTATACGATTTCCATATAAGCGATAAATATGCTAACAAAATTTCAGCCACTGTTTTCCGGCAATCTTTCGAATTAGCACAATACGAAGCTGCAAAATTTGACGTGGTCGCACGAGCTGCACAAGCGTGCGCGACAGCTGAATTTAAATTCTACAGCTCATACAAGCACAGAGAATATCCCTGCAAAGTTTCAGCTTTGTATCTTGCTTATTTTCTGGGGTACTTACGCAGGGTTAAGGCGCTTGCAGGGGAAGATCTTGAGATGGGAGAGTGACACACTGGGCAGGAACACATACCCAAAATTTCAGCCTCCCAGCTTTCCTAGCTGCTAAAATGAAAGGGGTTACAAAGTCCATTTGCTTCCGAACATACACAGACGACATCTCAACAATATGTGTTTTTGTTGGCTATAACAACGCTACAGCAAAAACGCACAAAAATAAAAAATCAAATTTAAATAAACAAAACCGAAAGAAAACGGCTAATTTTGGTTTAGCAGCGGTGTCTTCAACGGTGGGGTGTTCCCAAAGTAAAGTGTGAGTAAAACTACACGTTTGGAAATGTGCAAAAGTTTGACTTATAGCGTTTAAACGGACTGTTTCAGTATCACGGCGAAACCATCAAAAATGTGCGAGAAGCGGCACAGAGCTTCCCTGAGAAAATGCTTGTTGCAATTGCTCTGGACACCAAAGGACCCGAAATCAGAACCGGGCTTATTGCCGGGGTACGGCTACTATATTTGTATAATGGCGCGAAATACTTGACTGCGCAGGCAGCCAATAAGCCAGTAAATGCGGGATTTATAGTTAATGACAAAAGGCACCGAGCAAATGAAAAGAAAGGCTTGATTGCTATCAAATACAGAAATATATTTCAGTCGGCAACGGCGGAAGTGGGACTTAAAAAGGGCGAAAAAATCAGGCTGACGACGAATTGCGCCATGGCAACAAGATGCACGGCTCAGGTTCTGTATGTCGACTACCAGAATATCACGAAAGTACTGAAGCCAGGCGCTCATGTCTACATCGACGACGGACTCATTTCGCTCATGGTTGATAGCATCCGTAAGAGCTATTTGTTAATTCTGATTTTCGCTTAAACTATCTATCATTAGCTCCTCACGAAACTCAATACCCTCAAGTGAGCAACGAGTTGAAATTTTGGTCTAAATTGAATTTTGGTGGCTTATAATTATGAAAGAATGTAAAACGATAAAAATGGAAATGTGAATAAAATAAAATGTGAATGGGAATGTTTCAGTCCATCAAGCCGCATACATCCCTATTCAGTGCTGCTACCGGACCTCTTCAATGTGACGGTTGCAGCGGAAATATGGGTAACGTGGAATGTGCTAAAAAGGAAAGTGAAGTGTAAAATGAAAGTTAAACATTGAAAATTGAAAAATGAAAAATCCAAAGCTAAAAAGGTTTTTATAAAAAACATTACCTCCACCATTATATATGTTGATTTGACGAGAATGTACCTGTAAACTCAAAATAAAATATAACGAAGACAAAAAATTTTAAAAACAAAATAACGATCACGCAAAAAAGTATAAATAGAGCGAAGGGGAAATAGGGAAGAAGTGGAAGAAGAAAGGTCGAAGTAGGTAGACGGAAATCCATTGTCAAATTAAGGCACAAGACAAAAATAGAAGTAGATAGGAATGGTAGGACAAAATACTTACAAAAGAAGATAAAAACTAAAATAGAGAGAGCTCGTTTAAAATGTTATTAATGTTAATATAATTAGAATAAAAATATTTAGTGAGATGTAGTTTATATCGAATTAAAAAGGACGAACATATATTCAAAAGTGTATTTTCACTACACCTTCGTTGGTAACATAAAGAAATTAAAGTATTAGCTGCAAAGCCGTGTAAAGTGGATTCTGTCCGAAGGAACTGAACAAGTTGACTATATATAATGTTAGCGTGTATTTGTGGGTGAATATTGCTGTCTAAATATAAATACCTATTTACATAAAAATTAAAACAGTCTGTCTTGTTATAAAGTGTAGTACGAAGCACACGTTGTGTGTCACATGAAAAGTTAGCATCTAAGAAGTTAACAGTCTTACCGTCTCCGGTAATATTTATTTCAAGATCATATCCAATATATTGCTGAAACTTTTTCTTTGAAATCGTTATCTCCAAAAACAAGTATATCATCTACATATCGGCATAATAATAAAGGCGGATTCGTACTTATGGTAACATACTTGTATTCTAACACTGCTAATGTAAGGTCAGCTATATCTGGGCTAGCGTTTCAAGTTGCTGAAGTGCGCTTGAGGGTACTGAATTTCATGAACGATAGAGAGACAGGAGAAAAAATCTTTCGAATCAACGACACTTCGGCGCAGAGCTAGAACGATGCACTCCAAATGTCACAACTGCTGAATGCTTTCCCTCACAGCAAAATGTCTAGTCTTCTGGACCATTAAAATACTGCAAAATTATTGTAAATTCAGAAGGGCAAGATATAATGTGTACGATCGAGAATGGAGGAAAACTCGGCAGTAAAAAAGGCGTCAATCTGCCCGGAACGAAATGCGACCTGCCAGCTGTTTCGGCCAAAGATACCAAGGATTTGCAGTTCGGTGTGGAACAGGTACGATGAAGATCGTATCAGCGCTTTGCTGTTACTTAGTTTTAGCACCAACTGACTGAAAAAAAATTTACAATTTATGCTGCTGAAACTGCCTAAAATGACTGCTTTCTCAGGATCGTGCTTGCCTAACTCCTTGCATTTCACATAACTCAGATATTCCATTTTTCTTTCAGTAAATGTAATACTCAGTGTCGATTCAGGATTTGGCTTACATTGATTGGGAATACAAAAGCATAAATAATTGGCCAGCGCACCGACCAGTTGTGCGAATGTGCGTTTTTTGCACAGTCCCTCGCAGCTGTTTGTCGCTAACCGCAATGCTTTTCCGGCAAATAATTCTAGCTAAAAAAATTGAGGCTAGCTACCAAAGCTGTGAGAAAACATTCCCCTAAAATTTCAGTTTTCTAGTTTCTCTGATTCTCAAGTTAGCAACTTACTCGCAAAAATTTTGACGGGCCTTTACGAAAGAATAACGCACGCCTGTGGACTGGATTTGAACTCATTAAATGCTACGTTGACAGGGAGCATCCCTTTAAAATTTCAGTCCTCAAGCTTTCAAGTTCTCCCGAGTTAGCAGCTTAATCATACAAAACTTTCACAGGCCCGTAAGTGGAAACTACGCGGGCAAAAGTCTCAACTAGAGATATAGGCTCATACGTGCATGCAGAATAAGTTTTCAAAATTTCAACCTTGTAGCTCTTGTAGGGTCTCGAGATGAAAAATCAGTACAGATAAACACACAGACACACAAAGACATGCACATACAAACACGCACTCAGATACACAGACAGCCCCTCAACAATATGCTTTTTTTCATTGCATAGACGCAAAAAACGTATAATAAGTGGACACAAGTGCAGGGTGTGGATATGATATTTGCGTCGTTCATCCGGAACGCGGACGGCATCCGAGCAATCAGACGTGTCCTTGGTGAGAAAGGACATCTCATCAAAATTATCGCCAAAATCGAAAATCAGGAAGGTGTCGACAAGTAAGCAGTTCTTGCTACTTTTTATTTGAGAGGCTATCATAATTCTTTTTGGACTGTTTTTCATGTAGTAATTTGGCTGCGATGAATAAGTTACAGTATAATAAAAAGAAAAAACTTATCTTCCAAAACACTTCACATTAGCTGATTATCAACTGGCAGAACATTGAGCCGACTGATAAGAAATTATTTTAGCGCGGACGAGATAATCCGGGAAGCAGACGGACTGATGATTGCACGCGGTGACCTGGGCATCGAGATCCCTGCCGAAAAGGTGTTTGCGGCGCAAAAGATGTTAATTGCGCGCTGCAATGTTGCCGGGAAGCCAGTGGTTTGTGCCACACAGATGCTTGAGTCGATGACCAAAAAGCCGAGACCAACACGCGCTGAAGGCTAGTTTTTAAGAAGAATCAGTGATAAACTGGGTCTTTGAAAGGGCTAATACCCACTCTTGTTTTCCTGGCATTACTGCCTTAGAAGTATCCAGCTGTGTCTGCGTTTCGTTGTTTCTAGTGATCATTTTGCAGGCAGCGATGTGGCGAACGCAGTTCTGGACGGCGCCGACTGTGTAATGCTGAGCGGTGAAACAGCAAAGGGAGATTACCCGGTAGAGACGCTAGCAACCATGTGCCGGGTTAGTCCACCTAAAGATATCATGCATGCACTAAGAATTCGTAAAATTAAAATGCCAGTTTCACGACCCCATTTCCTTCAGTTTATTTACTTCGATTCTAATCGGCTCTCGGCTTGTTTATTTTCTCCTTGTAAGTTTCGGAATATAATGCACACAGCTGTGATTTTTTTGTCAGCTGACAATTTGAAGCCATTGAAGCGGTCTGGAGCTTGTTGCTGTGCTACCGAGCTATATTCATGTAACATCACAAGCCGTGAAAACCACCTACACAAACATACTAAGACCACTCTTGCTATTAGTGTAGTTATCCCTTGTGAGTGACTTTACTAGTACGCTCCCACACGCCAAGCGTAATTATGCCATCCCATGCTATGCTAAAATATTTCCCATTTTAATGCACCCTCGCAGCGGTATTATCTGATTCATCGTAATAATAATTTGATGAAACTTGGCTGTGGTGGGAAATTTATGGCAACGAAAAATCAAAAAATTTCTTTATCACATTGCCGCTGCATTATTACGGTAACATTAGGTAGCTATTCTTTTTCGAACACCACTTTACCATCACTCACTAAAAAAAGGAAAAAAGTTATGGTTTGGGGCCAACTGCGTTTGTCGAAAAATTAAGTTACATTGTTTTTCCCATCTAAGTTTTCTTCTTATTCTGCAGCTTATTAAGGCAAACCACTCAATAAGCTAGTTGCCATTTATCTGA